TCCAACATTTCAATGCTCGGCAGCATGTGACTGCATTCCTAAGTCTATTCACACATTCAAGCATCTTGCCACGAGGAGCGAGGTCTCTCTACCGCTCATAATAATAATCTCGATCCTAGGGTCCTCCATCAGCGCCGACCCAAGTACTGTACGGCTATGAAAGACGTTCTTACGCCTTGATGGCGTTGGCCGCCTGGACGAGCTTCTTCAACTGGCCATTCTTGGACAGGGTCTGCAGGTCGGAGTTGCCGCCAAATGTGCTTCTTGGAGATGTAGTTGTTCGGCACGCTGCGCTGGCCAGAGATCTCCTCGAGAGCGTCCTGGAGGGCGGCACCATCGTCTGTGTGGGTTGTAAGCACAATTGTCTTGCAGAGAGAACACGAACGGACCGCAAAGCAGGAGTACATACCTCGGGTGTCCAGCTCAACGGTCAGGAAGTCGGCGCCGAGGTCCTTGAGAGTCTGCTTGGTGGCCTTGCAGTATGGGCAGTAGGTCTTGGAGAAGACGACGACGGCGTTGTCGTCGATGTACTTCTGGACGGTTTCCTTGGCTTGCGACATGTTGATGGCTGGTGCGGCGGAGAAGAAGCGGCGGATGAAGGACATTGGTTTGGAGGGGTACGTTTGTTGGCGACGCAGGTGGCCGCGGTACGGTGGATATATATGCGGCACGAGTCTCTTAGTGGAGGGGCTCCGAAGGTGGTGACGGCGATGGGAGGGTGAGCTGCACGGGGATTTGTCAGGTACTCGTCTCGACTCGGCTTGCAGCTTGGATGGCGCAATTGGTCCCTTGAGCCTCCGAAGCACACAGAGGCCGGAGAGTGGATCGAAGCAAGACGCGCTTACCGGTAATTGCAAATGGTGTCAAATGGGAGTGTTTGAAGGCTGGAACCCGGGAACTCCTGGAAACTCTGGGCTTGCGACGGAGATGATGTACTTAGGGTCCTGTGCTTGGGATTCCATTTTTCGAGATGCCGGCCCTCGGATGTGCTGATGATGTAATGAGCTTGTCCCCAAGCTGTGCTGAGGACGCTAAGACGAGGCAAGTCTACTGTAATGGCCAAGCTTTAGTGGGCATGGAGGATATAGCAAGTTGCGGCTGTCGGCCACCTCACCTCGCAATGGACTGCATCAGGATCAGAGCATATTGATAACATGTGACAAGGCTGAATGATCAGGGAAGCAATTCCGATTTCAAATGATGTTTCCAAATACCCAGCCTTGCCAGCTAACCTAGAATTCTGCTCCATCTCTCTGTACTGGCTGCTACTGTTGGTAAGGGTGATGGGCTTTGTCAGATCTTTAAGGCATATGACCGCTGGCAACAGCCGGCTGTCATGTGCACGATTGGCTGGCCGTGCGGGATCGTTCCAGAAGCCACTTCTCTCGTTACCTGTAGCACAGCAGCCAGCCAAGGGGTCCTCGCAGGCGTTGGCCATCTTGCCTCTTCGGTGACTTGAAATGAAACACGCCGGAGTTACTTTCTCGTCTTCGAATGCAAATTTCGCGAATCTCGTCACACCTGTACCGCACGCCTTCAATCCTATTGCACCACCCGTCTGCAACCTGCGCCGTCCAACTCACATCATCTTGCCATCAGTCGTCACTCCAGATTGCCCAGTCGGTTCGTTGAGTCGAGCTACTTCGTCGAATGCCCTCGTGATAGGCCATCCCCAGGTACGTCGCGAACACCGTCCTTCCCCCACCTGACCAATTAACAAGTCCGACAACAAGCGCTCTGTCATTCGTCACCAATAGCCTTGAACATTTGCCTCTGTCGATTCGCAGTGGGCTCCATCCTCCCATCACCCCATCTCTCATGCATCCCCCCTCCTGACGCCGTCAGCTTGCCTCCAAACTTGGATAAGCGAGAAACGCTGACAGCGCATCCCGCTCCAGACAGTCCCCGACAGCCTCACGCTTCGAGAGGAGCCTCCCCCACCGGTCCGTTCCTCGACCCTTGACCCTGCCAATACGGTCGCCGATCCCGTCTCTGCGAGGCAAACCAGCCCGCTTCGCCCATCGTCACTTGCGTTCACCAGGCGCCGGCAAAAGTCTTAGTTCAAAGGGGCAAAAAAAAAGACCCAGAAAGGAAACCTTGAACGCTCGTCCCTGTCCGCCGAGACTCCGCGACCACGACGACGACACCTCCTACCTCCACCGTTCGGCCTCGCTGACGTCCTCGCACCGGTTCGCTTCGCTTCGCTTCGCTGCGCTGTCTCGCATACCCCCGCCCCTATATACCCTCAAACCCCCCCTCCCAGTCTGCAGCGTCCTTAGCTTTAAGGACCGCACCATCTCGCCAAGGTGGCTTCCGACTTACCACTTCTCGCATCTTCCGGTGCCCTCTCGAGCATCACCGCTCTCTTACCGACCTCCGCGCAGGTCTATCTCGACAAGTCTCTCACTCGTCTGGCTGAGACCATCACCGTCTCGTCCGGCTTCGTCGCAGAGAAACTAGGCGTCGACCCTCACATCGTCTTGTACACCACCATTGGCTGCATCCTGCTGGCCGTTCCATTCAGCATGTCGAGATACGGCTGGCCTATAAATCGGGAATCCCTCTCACCCTATGGCTCCTCGTTAGGCGGCGTCCCTAATATCACAGACGACGACTTTAGCTACATCACCTCCGAAGACCTCCACGAACCCGCGGGCGGCTCAAGATACCAACCCCGCACCCACAATGCGGTCCCTCCCGCGCCCGAAGACGATATTCTGCTCTTCAAGAACAAGGGCGTGACTTATCCAGTACACTTCCCCGCCTACACCATTGGTGACGGCAAGCTTCGTGTCTGCGACATTCGCGATCGCATCGCCGTCGAGCTTGACCTCTCCGACCGCCGCGCTCGTCGCGCCAAGATTCTCTACAAAGGACGCCAGCTGAAGGAGCCGGCGGCACCCGTCCGCGATTATGGCGTCAAGAACAATAGCGAAGTCATGGTGGTTCTACCTGATATTGCTCCTGGCGAGGAGAGTGGCTCTACTTCAGATGAGGAGATGGTCGTTGTTGCCGACGATCGAGGCAGTGCCGGGGGCACGGGCGATGACAAGAAGCGTCGGAAGAAGAAGTCGAAGAAGTCAAGAAAGTCAAAGACCGAGGGCAGCCCGCGCGACAGCGCTTCAACGTTCTCTCTGCCGGGTCGCGACTCGGATACGCCGTCGTCACCTCGGCCCGCTGCTGCGACAGGCCCCATTGCGGCTCTCAATGAACTCGACAATCACTTCATGACGACTCTGTACCCATTATGCCAGGACTTTATGGCGAATACTCCGACAGATCCGAAGAAATTGGAGGATGAGCACCGCAAGATTACCGAAACGGTCATGATGCAGGTCATCCTCAAGCTTGACGCTGTAGAAACGAATGGTGACCCAGACGCGCGGGCGCGCAGGAAAGAGCTTGTCCAGAAGGTGCAGAACGTGCTGAAGGACCTGGACACGAGACTGAAGAAGTGAGCCATATTCTGCCAACAGGCGAGGACGCGGCATGGATATGTTTGTCTGCATGTACTCCCAAGAGGAAGACGACGGCGGTGGTACTCCCGGCGCAACTGCATGGCGTGAACTTGCATCTAAACACCTAGAGAGAGACGGATGCAAAGGTTTCAGCCCTGATGTTTCATTTGTACATAATTTTTCCGCGGTCAGCCGCAATGCAACCGGCGACCACGAACTCATCGGTAGCTTGTCAACCGATTTCCGTTGCAAAGGCGGTGGCATGCGATGTACCCTTCGTAACTGAATCGTTATAATTCGGTATCCGGCGTGTCGCGCGCCTTTGAGTTGTGCACATGATCTCTTCTTATGTCGACCTGCTGCACTACACTGCACGGTACCCATCCCATGAGCTCAGCACAAGCCACACGTATTATGCTCTACGGCATAACTCGGCAGAACCATGCTCAGAGCCAACTGATCGATAGTGTTCGGACACAAGGCTCTCCATGTTGCTACTCCGGCCTCGAAGCACTGAAGATCAATCAACGCCACAGGCGATGCGCGACATGGACATTCGTCTGGTCTTTCCAGGTGCGAAATGAAGCCTAGGCCTACGGGGAGCGGTTCTGTCCAACCCACGTTGCGTTCTCGCAATTGATAGAGGCGGGCCTGTTTCCGAGGTCGCCTGTCGGGGTGATTGATGACGTGATGAGCCGGGCTTTACCAGGTGTGATCACTTCTGTGCTGCCCCACCTAGGTGGTGCCAGCTGGAAGGGGCGGCCACCGAATTATGCTTCCACGTGATGAATTTGCTAGGTCTCAACAGCCCTAAGGTGAAGGCCGGCAGGAACAGTGCCTCGCTTGCCGCAAACCCCAAGCAGGGCTCCACAATCACCGCCCTCCTGTGGTCGATGGAATATTTCGACTCGTCGCCCTGATCGCGAACTTCCTGTCCCCAGCAACGACCGCTACTAACACCCAGCTCAACAGCACCAAATCTCCACGCGGCATCATCGCCCCTGAGGTTTGTTTCCGAGCTGAACGTTCAACCTTCTTCGTCTCTACTTTTTCAGCGGTGACGGACGGGAACGATGTCGTCTTTCGAGTCTGTGGTGAGTCTTGCTGCACCGCCATATTCCCATTCGGCAATCCGTCAATTCGTGGGCGACGCAGCGCGGGTCGCAGGGCAGGGCAGAGCAGAGCAGGATCACACAAGAGGAGGAAAGTGGAAGGCATCATCGACACAACTGCTTCTGCGTCTCGCAACACCTTGCATTCGCGCCGCTGCGCCCGCACCACGATTGTCGAGAGCGCTTGGAAATCAACGTCTTGCCCTCTTCCCCCGGCACACATGGCTGACCGAAACATTCACAGGTCGTCATTGACGGCAAGGGCCACCTCCTCGGTCGCCTGGCCTCTATCGTTGCCAAGCAACTCCTCAACGGCCAGAAGATCGTCGTCGTCCGCGCCGAGGCCCTCAACATCTCCGGCGAATTCTTCCGCGCTAAGCGTATGTCTCACACACATTCACACACTCGATGCCGTGGCATCAACCCAGTCGAACGGCGAAGTCATCAGCACGAGCGACTAGACTGGGAAAAATGACGGCAGAGAAACATGGGAAGACCACGATGCTGACAGCCACACAGTCAAGTACCACGCCTACCTGCGCAAGATGACCCGATACAACCCCACCCGCGGTGGTGAGTCCTCCAACGCCCTAGACGAATCATGATCGATCCAGCCGCTGACCCGACTACAGGTCCCTTCCACTTCCGCGCTCCCTCCAGGGTCTTCTTCAAGGCCGTCCGTGGCATGATTCCCCACAAGACTGCCCGCGGTGCCGCCGCTCTCGAGCGCCTTAAGGTCTTCGAGGGTGTCCCTCCCCCCTACGACAAGCAGAAGAAGATGGTTGTTCCCCAGGCCCTGCGTGTCCTGCGGCTGCAACCCGGCCGCAAGTACTGCACTGTCGGCCGTCTCAGCCACGAGGTTGGCTGGAAGTACCAGGACGTGGTCGCGAGGTCGGTTTTCTCCTCTTCTCTGTCCATCACAGCAAGACGAGGGAACAAACGTGCTGACTTGAACAACGCAGGCTCGAGGAGCGCCGCAAGGCCAAGGGTGCCGCCTACTACGAGCGCAAGAAGGTCGCCCAGCGCCAGCTCGCCGACTCGAAGAAGAGCGCCAAGGTGGACGACAAGACGACGAAGGCTCTCGAGGCCTTTGGCTACTAAACATACCCAAAACGGTAGCCTTACCTCCCGCGCGGCTGTTCTTCCCTCTCTCTCCCTCCGGTCGGCATGACAGGGACTTTTTCGACAACTATCCCACCGTCTCGGGAACTCTTCCGCGTGTTTTCCTCGGTTTTCGTTCTCTGCACGTTTTTCCTCCGACATTAGATTGGCGTGGCGGTTCGATTAGGGAATTATGCCCCTCCACAAAGCTGATGGTAGGGCTGGTCTGGTGGTCTCATTTGGGAGGGGAATGACGGGGCGGCCGGCTTTGGGTGGGTGGGTGCCTCGTTGCCCATTTTCATTTCTCCGGAACCCCGTCGGTCGATCCTCAATACAGAACCAAAACCAAATCAAAGAACAACGATGAATAACGAAAAGAGACCGCGCTCCGAGGCAAATGACGGTGAGAGTGAAAGAAGAAAAGAAGAAAGAAAAACCACCCCAACAGTGGAATGATCGGCCGGGCTGGCGGTGACGTTTTCTGTTTTTGTGTTTTGTTTTATGGTTACGGGGAGGCATGATGAACGCTCGGGGAGGAAAAACCAAAAGGGAAAGGGAAAACCAACAAACCGGTCCTTCGGGGCTGAGGATGGCGTTGCTTGTCTTTCCGGATTGCATTGCATGGCATTAGAAGTAATGGACGACTTCTCTCGACAAGCCCGGCCGCCGAAGCTTCATCATGATCCATTCATCCGTGTTTGATATGCTAATATCGTAGAGCCGCTTTGACCTTGTTGGATATGTAAGGTCTTCATGCCATCGTTAACCCCCTCGAGACCTATCGTACATGATCAAATTCATCCCTCAGGCTTTGGCCAGCCACTTCAGCAGAGCCTTGTTGAATCTCTGCGGATCTTCCACCTGCGGCGAGTGCCCTAGCTCCTTGAATCCGACAAACTCCCCCCTCGGGATCCTCCCCGCCACTTCTCGCCCTAGCACATCAAACCGCCCAAGTCGCGCCTGCACCTCTTTGGGCGCCGAAGGCTTCCCCACCGCGGTGGTGTCCTTCTCTCCAACCACGACGAGCGTCCTGGCTTCGATGCTCTCAAACTCCCCAGCGATCGGCTGCGTGAACACCATGTCGACGACGCGCGCCTGGGCTCGTACAAAGGCCTCGCGCCGGCTGCCGGCGTAGATATCCGCCAGCATGCGCGCCCACACATCGTACGCGGGCTTCCACTTACCCAGGTAATAGACGGCCTGCTCGTACGCGCGAATGGCACCGTAGTCCTGGGCCCGCTCCTGCTGGAGGTTCGCATCGATGGACGGATACGGGACGCCCGCGGCGATGTAGTTCTCGAGACCGATGGCGTTGACGAGCACGAGGCGGTCAACGCGGTCTGGGTACAGCAGCGTGAAGCGCGTCGACAGCATGCCGCCGAGGGAGTGGCCAATGAGGGTGACGCTCTTGATGTCGAGGGCGTCGAGCAGGTTGCGCGTGTTGAGGGCCAGCTGGGCAAGCGAGAACTGGTAGTCGTCTGGCTTGGAGGACTTGCAGAAGCCGATCTGGTCCGGGGCGATGACGCGGTAGCCTGTACGGGTGAGGGTCTGAATTGTGGATTGCCAGGTCACACTGCAGAAGTTCTTGCCGTGCAAGAGAAGCGCGACGGGAGGGTCTACCGGGGGGTAGCCGTGACGAGGGCGACGAGGAGGGACGTCAAGGAAGGCCATCTCCAGGGCGGCGGACTGAGAGGTGAAGGAGTAGAGGTTGATGGGATAGGGGTACGTAAAGTTGGAGCCGTTAAGGTCCAGCGGCAAGTTTGAAGGCGTCATGACGACGCCGGCAGGTGCGCTGTTGGTGGTGAGGCCGGTGACGATGCCTCCCATGGCCATCAGGCTCATGATCGACTGGATGGATAGCTTCATGGTGAAATGGAGAATGTCTGAGTCGTCAGCTGCGTTTGGCCTGGCTTAAAAAGTGTAGTGGTACCTACATCGGAACTCGGAAAGGACAGGATTGTGAGAGAGGCCTCGCAATGAAGTTTGGCGATTTCTCAGATGGATCGAGGCAAGAAGAATCGTCGGAGATCGATTCGCCTACCAGAAGCAGTACTCATGCGTCAATCCAACTGATGCCTTGGCAGGAGGAACAAAGCACATTGCTAATTCAAAAAACCTCCTTTGCCTACCTATTTGATGGACAGAAAATGAAGGGAGTTGCCCCTGCAGCTGTGGAGGACCACGTCGTCCGGGCTATCGCAGTCACCCAGGTCTAGAATGGCGATATGGGACCTACGCCGCAAATGGTCTCGTCAAGTCCCGACTTTCTTCTCGCGACCACGGACTCTAGGCTATTGATCAGTGCATGTATTTGCTTCTTCAACACTGGCCAAGAGTAGAGGGCCCTCGTGGGGGCCCCGTGGGAACTGAAAGGGAAGAAGCCCAGTCAAGGTTGGGAGATAGATGCCCCATAGCATGCGTGCCAACGAAATGATGATAACCTCGTGCCGATCGACCTTCCATCTGCCATATAGGTACGTTGGGCATGGCTGAGTGACATCTCGATCACCACTCTTAAAGTGCAGATTCTCGTGGACCTCACGTTCTCTCATGTCGATGCTAAAGCATGCTGCAGGCCATCCCTCCCTTCGTTTGCCGAGTCCTGACGTCTCGCCCGCATTCCCTTGCTGTGTTGCATCACGACATCCAAACACTCGGAACCTAAACATAAGACATCACTGGCACACCTCGCTATTCTGTCCAACCAACACTGGGTCTCGGGTCAACGTGACTCGAATGCTTGCTTTTTCGCTTGCGCAGCGATGGATCACGGCCGGTCCGCTCGGAATCGCGCAATTGCCATTTCTGTTCTTCCTTCAGCTCTATAATTGTTGATTTGGGAGGCAGGAAGCCAAACAGGAGCAGAACAGGGCGTTCAATGAGGAGATGAACTTGAGCGACGTGGGATCAAGCTATTGAACGCCGGTTCATTGGTAGCTTCGCCATGTCTTGCTCTGTGCCAGAAGCAATGTTGCACACTTTTTGAGCTTGCTCTGTTGTTCAGTGGACGCCTTCGCTCGAGGTGAGACAGTTGCCCACATCGCCTGCATCGCCCGTTTTGTCTATCTTTCTCATTCTCCGCGCCCACTACCTCTTGCGGCACTGCCGACCTGATCAACGAAAACTCACTCGCAACTGGTCTCTCACGTTGAGTGATCCCTCTGCTGCCCATTCCTCGTGACCGCGCGACACGCGAATCCACGGGACGGCCCAGCTAAGCCCACCGACCGACCACCTCGAGGCGTCCCAAGCTGGCAGTGTGCCATCCTTCTCCCTGCGGCTGAGGAATGCCTTGACCGACAACCCAGCCACTGATCCCTCAAAATGTGTCTTTCCTCTTGATTCTTCACTGCTATCTGCCGGCAGCTTTCTGCTAGCCCCAGCTACTGGCCTCGATCCAGCGGGTTCCTGACAGCTGAGATGTGATGTGATGGATTGTCTTATGCTTCGTAGAAGCAATGCAGGTCTTGGCCTCCTCACACCATCTTGAAAATACCGGTCAACCAACGTCGCCGTGTTGTTTGCCTGCTTCTTGAGTCGGGACTGTGCGGCGCGTTTTGGTGTTCATTTGAAGGCAGATAGCAAGCGCTGCGCGTCCTCGAACCATATTGTGCATTATCACAACCTCATAATTGCTTCTGCGCCGGAGCAAGCCGATCGACAACGTCGTCAGCTGCAGACCTGGACCCTGGAGATCAAAGGCCCTCACTCATATCGCTGTCAGAAGACAACCATCCCATCGCCTCTCTTCGCCATTGTCGACTGAGACAGGCCGCTCAAGCCCGGTGTTCATTCCCCCAAGTCTTTCTCCCACGCCAGAA